TCCATAACTGATCATTTAACATTACTGCTACCCCTTCCTTTGCTCTAACTCTCTCAGATACTCCAGATTTAATCCCATTTATTTCCCCCCACTGAAACTCTCCTACCCCCTTCAGCTTTGTTTCGCTTAGAGCCAGGACATCCAACTTCTTTTCATCATAACATCAGCAATCATCTGTTTCTTGTCATCCGCACTACATCCACGCACATTTAAACAACCCAGTTTTATAAAATTTTTCTTCTCTCTTTTTTAGTAAATGTATACAGGAGAAGGGGTTACTAGCCCATTGCTCCCGGCATTTTAGTCGCCTCATACGACACGCATGGCTTACGGAGGAAAGATTCTTTTCCACTTCCCCATGGACAATAGAAGAAATAAAAAAGAACAAGAGCTATTTAGAATAAGGAGAAAAACCTAGATGTATGTATATATATATATGCATGTGCGTGTCTGTGAAGTGTGACCAAAGTGTAAGTAGGAGTAGCAAGATATCCCTGTTATCTAGCGTGTTTATGAGACAGAAAAAGAAAACCAGCAATCCTACCATCATGCAAAAACAGTTACAGGTTTTTGTTTCACAGTCATCTGGCAGGACGGTAGTACTTCCCTGGGTGGTTGCTGTCTACCAACCTACTACCTATATGTATATATATATATATATATATATATATATATATATATATATATATATATATATATATATATATATATATATATATATATATATATATATATATATACAATAAGATCACAGTAAACAGGTGATTTCAGAATATGCAAAACAACCACTGTGAAAGAATAGAGAAGTTCCAAGCGCTTTCGTGACTACTCACATTCGTTGTTCCTTGATAATGTGAGTAGTCACGAAAGCGCTTGGAACTTCTCTATTCTTTCACAGTGGTTTTGTGAAATTACAAATGTAGCCCTGGGGTGGTTTATTTTCTATTATTTTATGTATTAACCCTCCTAGCGCTAATATTTTTCGGAACAGCCATGAACTATAAATTCCAGGATGAAATGGTAAGTAATAAACGGAACTGGACACACCTGGTTGCACATTGTACCCACGTTGTCTCTAAGTCAAAAAAAAAAATAGAAAATAATTCAAATATTTTATTATATATGAAGACATGTTGGCTTGCCACCGTCAGTCTGGGTTCTTCTTAAACTGGAATTGTTTAGGTGGTAATGGTCGAATAACAACGGAACTTCGCTTATAGTTTCCTCTCTAGGTTGTGTGTGTGCTTTTACCAGACATGATATTGTTCCATCCACGGTATTGTGTTTCTTCCACGGTATTGTGTTTCATCCACGGTATTGTGTTTCATCCACGGTATTGTGTTTCATCCACGGTATTGTGTTTCATCCACGGTATTGTGTTTCAACCACGGTATTGTGTTTCATCCACGGTATTGTGTTTCATCCACGGTATTGTTTCATCCACGGTATTGTGTTTCATCCACGGTATTGTGTTTCATCCACGGTATTGTGTTTCATCCACGGTATTGTGTTTCATCTACGGTATTGTGTTTCATCCACGGTATTGTGTTTCATCCACGGTATTGTGTTTCATCCACGGTATTGTGTTTCATCCACGATATTGTGTTTCATCCACGGTATTGTGTTTCATCCACGGTATTGTGTTTCACCCACGGTATTGTGTTTCATCCACGGTATTGTGTTTCATCCACGGTATTGTGTTTCATCCACGGTATTGTGTTTCATCCACGGTATTGTGTTTCATCCACGGTATTGTGTTTCATCCACGGTATTGTGTTTCATCCACGGTATTGTGTTTCATTCACGGTATTGTGTTTCATCCACGGTATTGTGTTTCATCCACGGTATTGTGTTTCATTCACGGTATTGTGTTTCATTCACGGTATTCCAACCAGTCCCATCAAGGAAGGTTCCTTGATAATGGTGAGGGGCTCTTGATCTAGGGAATTGGATCTGTGCTCCGGTTCCCTGAATTAAGCCTGAATACCTTTCACATCCCCCCCACAGGCGATGTGTAATCTTACGGGTTTAGCGCTTCCCCTTTGATTATAATAATCCATCCATGGTATTGTTGGTATTCCATCCACGGTATTATCGGTATTCCACTACGGTATTGTCGATATTCTAGCCACGGTATTGTACCAGTCACGGTATTGTTGATATTGTTTTAACCAGGCTATTCTGACTTTTTTGTGTTCGTAGCCCTCATGGCCGCTGTTGTAGCATTGGTAGCCAGACATATCCCTGACCGTGATAACCAGAATGCATGACCATTCTCCAGCAGCTGGTGTATGTTTTTCAAACCGCAAGACTGTAGAAAAACTGTATGACGAAAACATAACCTTTACAAAAACCAATTGTACATAGTTCAACAGTACCTCATTTTCCACCTCCGGACTCATTACTGGAGAGAGGAATTGTTAAGTATATATATATATATATATATATATATATATATATATATATATATATATATATATATATATATATATATATATATATATATATATATCACTGGTGCCAATAATTTTGAGTGTAGTGTTAATACACTGGTACATTGCTCAACCGTAGGAGTTCTTTCCTTTTTCTCGCACCTTTTTTTTCTCTGACATTGAACTGACTTGGAGGAAAAACTTGTCCAGCTGACGTATCTTTTGCAAAAGAGGCCAGTATTTTTGTGGGATTTTTTCCCCCTTAATAATAATGACTTCTCGTGGGTAGCGACATCTAGCATGGAGAACTGAATGTGTTTATGTAAGACACCTGCAATCTAAGTAATGTGATATAGTATTTATGTTAGTTAAAACATCTCTTGAGTGTGAGACTACTAGTTAACTCAGCAGTTTGTAAACACAATTCAACCAGCAAAGAAATAAGCAGACGAGGAAGAGGAAAGATATATCACTGATATAACAAAAACCCGTTTATTAGTCTCCACCGCTGTCATAGGTTAGGGACCATCATTATATAAATACTTCAAAATTCCTTATACTCATAGCGTTATCATCAGCTCGAAAACATATAATTCATTTAAAACAATTTACAGAAAATAATGAGAGCATAAATAAGATGATTAAGAAAGGCACAACCAAACATAGTTTGAGAAGATTATGTAACACAGACGTAAATAACAGTTTCAAAACAAACATTAAAAACATTCTACACTATAAAACTAATAAACACAGACTAAGCAACAAACACAACTCAATATATTAATGGTTTGAGTACACAACCTTTACAGTGAAATACCAAATATTTCACTTGGGTTATATTTAGGAATGCGTACTAATGTATGTAGATAAGAACTTTTAAGATTTTATTAGATTTTATTTTATTATTTTGCACTCAGTAATTTATTCAACCCCGGAAAGAAGTAAGTTTTACCCACGAAGCTAAACTGTGATAGTCAATAAACTAAAGTTATATTCAGTAGATTGTTTTTCTTAATAATTTAAGTTAGATACTTAAAGGGTTATTTTGATGCTCGATAGATTAAGATATGAAGCTTAATAGACTGAGCTGTGATACTGAAAAGAATAAGTTTGAACACTTGAAAACATCCAGTGTATTATACTCGGGGTGTCATAATTTATTCACTAGGATAAGATAGCCTCAAACGTTAGTTTTTCCACCCAAGAAGTTATCTTATAGAAACCAACCCCTCAAGGGAAGTTCCTTGATACTGGTGAGGGGCTCTTGATCTAGGGAACTAGATCTCTGCTCCAGTTCCCTGAATTAAGCCTGAATACTTTTCATCCCCCCATAGGCGCTGTATAATTCTACGAGTTTAGCGCTTCCCCCTTGATTCTATATAATAATAATAATATAATAAAATATATATATATATATATATATATATAATATATATATATATATATATATATATATATATATATAATATATAATATATATATATATATATATATATATATATATATATAATATATATATATATTTATATTATATATATATATATATATTATATATATGAATGATTTATCAGAAACCGACATGTTGATAAATTAGACACATTGTCAACTTGGGTATCTTATATTGAGGAAACGTTTCGCCACAAGTGCTTCATCAATCCATACTAAGGAGAATCTGAAAACAGGAGAGAATATTCATGATTACCTCTATATCCTCTGTTCTTCAAGATTCTCCTAGTATTGGTCAGATGAATTCACGTGTTTGGCGAACGTTTCCTCAATAAGATACCGCAAGGATTTGCAAAATGTGTCTAATTTAATTTTAATATAATATAATCAATATATATAAAGTAATTTATATTTTATTATATACTATATATATATATTTTTTATACTATATAAATATATATATATATATATATATATATATTAAGATATATTATATATAATAATTAAGCTTTACAATTTTTTCTCTCAACGAAATTCTTCAAATTATTCCCTTAATTTACAATGTGAAAATGTATCGAGGAAAAGCAAAAATATTTTCAAATCAATTTGTAGAATTTTAGAACCATTATATGTAATGTCCTGGCAATGTGGATTTCTAAAAAAAATACTTCATTTATTTTTAACTCAGGTAATATACATCGAGAAGTTTATCCAAGAAGGAAGTTTACTGATGTGTTCTGTGCCTACTGCATTATGCTGCTCTTTGATCCTATAAATGCTGCTGTTGTATTACTCTTAATTTAAGAGTTTTGCTGTATACAGAAAGCTTTTATAAATTATTTTCATCGTGAATGCATATACATTGTTGAATAGACATGGATTGTGAAATATAAACGGTATACAATTCCGAGTTCATGAAAAAGACATGGGCAACACTACGTATCTTTAAAAATGCCTAGGGTTACATAGATGCCTCATTTCTCTGAATCAGGGCAACACTACGTATCTTAAAGATACCTAATATTACATAGGTGTCTAATCTGTATCAGTGCAAAACTACTTATCTTTAAAGAGTTTAGTGTTACATAGATGTCTTAACTCTGCATTGTGATGTTACTGTACCTCGTGTATATAGTTGGGGACCTGGTCGACACTGCTGAATGTTGTGGTGTTGGGATGGACCAGGTATAGCAGAGTGCCCACACGTTGTAGTAGTGACCGCTCCATCACTTCTGCACTCTGTGGAGATACTGTAGCTGCATCAGAGACTGTTATGTAGTAAAGACTGTAGCTGTATCAGTCTATGTAGTAGATAATATATTGCATCAGAGACTTACTGTAGCAGTGACTGTTGATGTATCACCTACAGTGACTGTAGGTGTGATACACTTTGCAGTGATTGTAGGTGTTTCAGAACAGCAGGCTTATCAGTGACTTAATGACGTGTTTTGTCGTATCATGAAAGGTTTGCATGAAGGTGTCTCTGAAAGGTTGGATGTTTGGACACTCTTAAATATAATGTTCCAGAGTATGGCCCTGTCTCTGTACACTGCCCAGGATGACACTTTACAGTTTTAGTTTATCTTTATTATGCACCCCATACCCATCCTGTGGGCGGTAGTCAAAAGATTACAGAGGTACATAATGGGTCCAGGGACTGGACCCCAAAGTTATGATAGCTGAACTAGTTACAAAGGTATTGAACTCCAGGTAGATCTGGTCATAATCATGGCAAGTTACAAAGGTAATGAACCATCTACACTCCTATACATGGTTACAGTCATGAACAAATTACAAAGTAATGAGCCATTGATACGTGCACACCTGGTCACAATTGTAATGAGTTATAAAGACAAATACTGAGTGGGTCATACACCCACACGAGCGCGCACACACACGAGCGCGCGCTCACACACATACACACACAAGGGGGCACGCAGACACATGCACACGAGCATACAAACATATACGCACACAGACGTGACGAGATGTCAGAATGGGCGCCTGTGACAAGCGAGGTTCCACAGGGGTCAGCCCTAGGACCTGTGCTGTTTTTGGTATATGTTAATGACATAACGGAAGGGATAGACTCAGAAGTGTCCTTGTTTGTAGATGATGTGAAGTTAATGAGGGGAATTAAATCGGTGGAGGATCAGGCAGGACTACAAAGATACCTGGACAGGCTACAAGCCTGGTCCAGCAAGTGGCTCCTTGAATTTAACCCTGCCAAATGCAAAGTCATGAAGATCGAGGAAGAGCAGACACAGTATAGTCTAGGTAGCCAAAGACTGCAAAACTCACTCAAAGAAAAAGATGGCGTGAGTATAACACCGATTACATCTGAGGCACACATCAATCGGATAACTGCTGCAGCGTACGGGCGTCTGGCAAGCCTAAGGATAGCGTTCCGATACCTCAGTAAGGAATCGTTCAAGACTCTGTACACCAAGACGATTAAGAATCATCTTTTCGAATGTTTTACACAAGCAGCTAGTAAAGGATATTGGGCATAATGAGTTATGCTTATTGGGCTTCGGAATAGGAATAACGAGGCTGTTGGTCCATGATTTAGGGAGCTCCCCAGTGACATACCTCATGTTATATAATTCAAGTAGAGGATTACCTGGTACTCGACACCAGTGTTACATACACCATTATCGACAACCTGGTCATCTCCACACTCAGTATCTATCACTACATTACACTCATCATTTTGACTATCATGATGGTCTTCACTGCCCTTATCATCTTCACTGTGATTGTAAACACCACTTTTAGAGTCATCATTTTTTTAATTATTAACACCACTGCACTCATCAGTTTGTTCATCGTCACCACATTCATTTTCATAATAGCTGAGAATCTGTGGGTTGATGTACTCATTTGCACCCTCTGTAAGTTTTTCCTCGCGATGCTCAAGTTGTTGTTTCAGGCACCATTGTTGCTTCTCCAGTACTGTTATGCGCAGCTGCATGTTGTGTACCATCCGAGCAAGACTAGCTTCACCTGAAGGTATGAAGTCCCGGTCAGCTGAGCCAGGTGGCTGACTGACAGCTGGCTCAGTCAGACAGGTGGTGTCAACACCAGCAACATCACTAGTGTTTATAGCAGACGTGATCGTGCTCTGGTGATGTACTTCCAGAGTGACTTGCTCAACCACATTGTCTGAAATCAGGCATGGGTCAGTATTCAGACATGAAGTACCTGGTAGGCCTACTGCCTCATCATGGGGGGTGATGGGTGAGGCGGGAGCCCTACGGCTGGCTATGTGGGCAGCTTTCACTCTGCAATCAGTATGAGCAGCTGTGACTCCTGGGGTCTTACAATTGATACATTGTAATGCAACGGCCTGGTGTTTCTTGATCATATCATAGCACTGGTGAGAAGGATGGGCTTTGGCATACACTGCACACCAGTGTGACTTAGCTGGGTATTTCCAAGCAATGTGACCCCAGCGCTGACACTTGTAGTATCTCCGATGAGGTGGTTTGTACAAGGCTATTTTGTAACTCCTGTTAAGCGCTGCACGAGAGTAGATATATGATGTTGGAGTCCCTTGGCCAATCCACTCAGCCAATATCAGATCATTTGGAAATCGACGAGGGTTTGCAACTTGATCTGACAATAGGAATTTAGGATACAGCACCGCCACTTTCCCGCCTTCCACTACGACCTTCACTCTCCGTCTATAATACTCCAAGCCAGATATCCACTCTATCTCTCCTGGTAATGTCTTCTTCCAGCTCGCTCAAACTCCGCAAATCATTGTCTTCAGAACTCACCCAGGTTTGAAACTCCTCGACCAGGATTCATACAGTACCTACATTAAAACCACCACTAGACAAAATCTATAGACCTGACGTCAGATTCAAAATTACCTGAATTCCAGAACACTGTGCCAAAAGTACTATAATAGACAAACATGTTAACGAGACTTTACAATTGTCCACGATTCTGAAAAGAAAGAACTCATCCACGACAGAGCTACGAATAACAAAATTTCCGTTGGCGACATCTACTACCCTGCCATCTCTGATATACCTAAAATTCGTTGTTCTACACCTCAAGACGGCAGTCACATTATTAAGCATGGAATTCGCGCAAAGATCATCCATATCTATCTCATCTTTCTCTTTACTGAAAACTTCCACTCTTATCATTCAGTGCCTTAAATGTCACAAATTCGGCCAATCTAACTGTGACTGCGCCTCAACTCGCCAGATCTGCTCCAGATGCTCGGCCATCGGTCAGTTATTGTCATCTTGCAAGCTTTCCATCAAATGCCCCAACTCTGGGGAATCTCATATACATGCTGTCCTAATTCTTGCCACCTCCGCCAATACATTTTTAACTCTTGAAGCCCCTCAAGGGAGGTTCCTTGACGGTAGTGAGGGGTTCTTGATCTAGGGAATTGGATCTGTGCTCCGGTTCCCTGAATTGAGCCTGAATACCTTCCATCTCCCCCACATGCGCTGTATAATCCTACAGGCTTAGCGTTCTAAAATAATTATAATTATAATAATCTACTCTTAAAAAATAGGCCAACCCCATTATCTCCCTAACCCCTTCACCTCTCAAGCTAATACTTATACTTCCCCACCATCCTCCAGCAACTGGACTTCACCCACCACCAAATCAGCCCCAGCCAATAACACAACTTGCCCATTCTGTTGATCACATAACCTCTAACTTTATCATTACAGCAGTCCAAGCTTCTTTGACCGTTGCCAAAACTTACCACGCCGCTTTGTGCACATTTTTAATGCCATACTTCCTGCCAACAGCCTTCCCAACATCATCATCCGTTCTTCCTGCTTTCTACTTCAGCCATCAACACCTCTCCAATCACTCAAAATTTCATCTCTTATAACCCACTCAGTGTCTTCCACCTCCACATCCACCACAGTTCCATCCACCTCCACCATAACCCCACCCATAAGAACCACAACTCCATCTACATCCACCTCTGACCCATCCACTTCTACCTCCACCTAAAGCACCTCCAACCACCACAGCTCCTCGACATCCAGACGCAAACTTATCAATCCCAAACCGGCTACAACCTTCAACAGACAAACCAAGGAATGTTAAAAACTAACATATTCCCATCCCGCATCCACCTCTGCCTCACCGACGGCACCAACGTCAAGGAAATTCTCCGTAACTTTGAATCAAACACCAACCCAATAAATAATGGTTTATAAGTTATTCATTTTAATGTAAATGCTTCACAATCAGACATCAAGTTGGTTAATTCACTGAAGCCGAGACACCTGATGTTTTAAAACCTGGAAGTTTATCAATGTGATCAACATTATTTTTAACATGGGAAGAAGACACAGTATTCACAAAGGTATACCAAAGGTAGCCATTTAGATTATCTTTAGTTTGTAGAACCTACAGAACTTATGATTGGTCTTACAGGATTGCCAACTTATGTACTGTTAGATAAGAATCCAACTGAACGGGTTAATCGTAATTTTATTTAAGAGTAAATTTAAAGATTCTGAAAGGGAATATTTTAATCGAGCAGTTTTCGTACAGAAATCATCTCTTCCTTATTTATATAATGGTTTGATTGGAATACGCAAAGTTGGTAATCCTGTAAGATCAATCATATAGATGAAGGATGTCACACACTAAATTACTAACACTATTTAGAAAAGGTGATCTAAATGGAAGTCATGCCGAGGTGCACCTTCAGGAAGCGTATAAAAGTACTAATAACGAACTTACCTATTTGTACTCGCCTATCCGTGGTTGCAGGGGTCGATTCACAGCTCCTCGCCCCGCCTCTTCGCAGTTCGCTACTAGGTCCACTCTCTCCCTGCTCCATGAGCTTGATCGTATCTCGTCTTAAAGCTATGTATGGATCCTGCCTCCATTACATCACTCTCCAGATTTTTCCATTTCCTGACAACTCTATGACTGAAGAAATATTTCGTAATATCCATGTGACTCATCTGAGTCTTCAACTTCCAGTTGTGACACCTTGTTGCTGTGTCCCATCTCTGGAACATCCTGTCTCTACCAACTTTGTCAATTCCTTTCAATATTTTATGTCATTATCATGACGTACCTATCCCTCCTGTCCTCCAGTATCGTCAGGTCGATTTTCCTTAACCTCTCCTCGTGGGACATACCCCTTAGCTCTGGGACGCCTCCCATGGCAGACATTGGTCTGAGACACTGCCTCGTCAGGGAGCCAAGGCTGGGCCACCTCTTGGAAAAGGCCCGGGCCAGGCGATTATACCGGCGAATCTACAACAGAACAGCTCTGGAACTAGTCTTGTTGCAAACCTTTGAACTTTCTCCAGTTTATTGACGTGCTTGACCAGGTGTGGGTTCCAAACTGGTGCTACATTCTCCAATATGGGCCTGACGTACACGATGTACAGAATCTTGAATGATTCCTTACTGTGTCGAAACGCTGTTCTCAGGTTTGCCAAGCGCCCATATGCTGCAGCAGTTATTTAGCTGATG